AGTGCATATTGGAATTTTTTTCCTAAGTCAAATTGTGTGACCAAATTTATAGAAATAAAATAAAGATTTCATAATGAATCTGATGTTAATATTATTTTAAAATATTCTTAGTCAAAGTTTATGAAATTTGACTTAAAAAATTCTAATATGCAGTATGTTTCCTTTTGAGTTGAATCCTACATACTTAAGTAGTTGATTCTCACTACTAATATTGATCTAAACATCACACACCTCATTAACCCCACTACCTATATTTTTTTCAACATGTATGGGAAATATTTTTTATGTGCTATTTCTTTCAACATGCACACATCCTACTTTATCAACCCACTCTATTTCTCTTAACATTTCATGAGAAATACTAATTTTATTCTATAAAAAATTGTGGGATATTATAAAAATATTTCAAAACTATATAATAATTAAATAAAACAAATCTTATGTATTTCTAGCCTTCATTCTCATATTCAAATCCCAAACAATCAAATCTCATCAAAATACCAATTCCTGCAGCAGCACGTGAGGTATCTTCTTGTTTTTTCCCCTAGAACACAGGTATCATCTTTTTTTTGTGTACGGGGCATCATCTAGTATGTGCTGTGATTTGGAAATGCGGAGGAAGATTTTTGTTTGTTTGAGGGAAAAATGGGGAGGAAGTAAAAAAGAAGTCCAGTCCCTGAAAAGAAGAATGCTCAGGCAGGAGCCGGCCCAAATACAGAAAAACAGAGTTATTGCTGATTGTAGTGGATTTGGGCCGTCGGCTCAAAACTTGTGAACTGGACGAGTTACCCACTTCTCGATTGATGTCTGACGGCGAAGTCGGGCCGCGTCGGTTCCCTCAAAAAAAAAAAAATTTTGGCCGCCGTCGGCGAGGATCCGGCGACGCCCCCACTGCCACGCGGGCGTACCGAGATTTGGTAGCGTACTAGCGTGTGTGTCAGTGGGCGATGCTGAGGGCAATATCTGGCTGCGAGGACCAAGGTGGCGGCGCGGCGTCGGGTGCAGGCTCATCGAAACGGGGCGGCCATGTTGGTGCCCCCGTCTTTCTCCGCGGAGCCGGGGGGCGCCGCCGATGAACGACCAGCGCGCGTGGGAGGGGGCGCTCGAAGTGGTTAGGTTGAATCTTGCCCGTTCCCAGGGAACAAAGAGAATTAACGGTGAGAAATCGAGGCAGTCATTCATTTCTTCTCGCTAACCACTCAAGAACAATGGAAAGATCTAGCTCGAATCGGAGAGCTGTCTTCGGAGGTGGTTGTGCATTTGTGATCTTGTTACACTAGGATGAATTTTCTGGTACTGGCTGCAATTCTGCAAATTTCTGACGACATGTTTGACGATAGCAGTAGATGCCTAGATGGTTCTCTTGCAGTTGTTCACAATAACATGACAAATTGCTTCTTTTCTATGCATCTGCAGGCAGTTACCATCAATCTGAACGCGTGGAGTGATGCCGGGCATGCTGTGAATCATCTGTATGATATCCTCTACATGATGGGCCGCGACGACATTCTGGTTGGCATTGGTGGCGACGGTGGGATATCAGATGCCGGCACCATATATCCCAACGTTGGCGGTTATTTACCTCTGATTGACCAGGTATGTGTTTTCTCATCCAGTTGCTGTGCCGTTATACGTGGTATAATTTATCAAGGAAAGACATGTAAATCTTTTTCTAGGTGATTCTCTTTTTCAAAATGTAGGTACTAATATACAGGTTAAACTTTAGGGGATCACAACTGCCGGGGACTGCCGGTACAGAAAAGCTGTTCCTCTGGAAGGTGGTGGACGGTTGGACATTGACACAAACTGGGGAATTAGAAGGAGCTTCCTTCCACAGGTATATGCCGCGTGCATAATTTTACATTCCCCTTTGTACAGGTATTGCATTTTGATGTTCAAAAGATTGGTCGATTGTCCACCACTGCATTATCTCGCAGCTTAATCATTCTATGAAGCAGAAAGAAGTTTTAACAACTGAACAATCGAGATGCAGCTATCGTTGATTTAAAATCCTTAAGTCACACATAACATTTTCCAAACAACATGCTTTGCTCTGTTTTACCTCTTTTGCATCCTAAGCTGCTGCCCTTTTTGCTGGAATAAAGGAACTTCAGACTTATCGACAGTTTTCCTAGAGCTCCGTTTGTGTTACTGTTTTCACTATTTTTCTATCGTTAGGACTTACATCCATTTTCTAGATCATTTTCTCTGACTATTTCTGCATATATAGATGGAAAGACATAAAACAGAAGTTGTTTATTTGTCTAATGTCTCGGGAAACTGGTCATATTTGACCTGATGTTTGGGTAGTTTTAGGACAAGCTGATTATGGAGAATCTGTGGTGATAAGTGAAAACACTTTCTGATAAAAAGACACAATATAGCCAAAATGTTTTTGTTGCCCTCACAGAAATAATATGTATATTGTCCATGGTGAACCAGCCCTGGGGCCAAACAATGCAATTTGAAGAATACTTCTGATATCAAACCATCACATTAGTGCCCTTTCCGTAAGAAATATGCCATGGTACTCTGCTTATCTGTGTATTCATTGCCAGCTCCAAGTTACCAATTTTTAATCCATAAAACAGGGAAACAGAAGATATATACCATTTCAGCAACCTACAACGCAGCAAGTAATGATCGACAAATATCTGCTGGCCCTACAACCGTCATTCTCACAGGATCACATACAAACTTTGCCATTTTCCTCATGACTTATCCACACCTGAAAGGAAATGTCAAACACATATACACTATGGGTGGTGGTGTTAGATCGAAGAACCCGACAGGTTGCTGTCCAAAAGATGTTACCACAGCTTGTACACCACAGCAATGCGGTGATATTGGTAACCTATTTTCTAGTTACAGTACCAATCCCTATGCAGAATTCAACATATTTGGAGATCCTTTTGCTGCATATCAGGTATACGTCTTAGATTTGAAAGAGGCCGTCTGTCTTACCCTTTTTGTTTGCTTAAACTTTGAAAGTGGAATTTCTTGTTTACGACAAATTTGTATCTCTATATTTGGAAATTCCTCCCAAGGAGCAAAGCCATAGTCAGGTCTCATTTCTTGTCTTCTAGTTTCTGTAATACATTCTTAGGCTAATGTTAGTAAAGAATTCCATGCTGACATACACGGTAGATTTAAGATTTATTACTTCCCTTTTGTGATTAACTGCCCACACAATCATATTGTAGATTATAGTGTAAATAGGTATATATAGAAGAATTCAGAATGAGAGTGAATTTGTTTCTGTATCGAAGCTGGGAGTTAGCACTACTGATGGGGTAGCCAGCTTGGGTTCAATCCTTACTTCTCACTTAATAAAGTTTGGTGCCTAGTTCCTCCTAGGCATCCCTCATATTTGTTTCATGTTAAAAATGCCAGGAGCTATGATTCTTCTGTCGAGATAAGCATTAGGTGTTTGTTACTGGTATATGAACTTGACCTTTCATACTTAATATAATAACTCGATTATACTGGAACCTGTCTTTATTCACAATTGTGTCTCTTTAGTATGCCAATAAATTGTCTAATATGTTACCACTTCAGGTGTTTCATTCTGGCATTCCAATCACACTTGTCCCTCTTGATGCAACTAATACGATTCCAGTCAATGAAGAGTTCTTTTATGCATTCCAACAACACCAAAGTACATTTGAGGCAGAATACTGTTTCAAGTCATTGAAAATGGCTCGAGACACATGGTCTGATGATCAGTTCCATGCAGTAGGTTCATATTCTTCGCCCTTGCAAAATTTTAATGCAGTATAACATAGGATTTTTCTTCTTTTTAACTTACCATTTCCTTTTTGTTTTCTTGGCCTAATGCAGAGCTATTTTATGTGGGATTCCTTTACTTCTGGTGTAGCCATCTCTAGCATGCGCAATGACAAGGACTGCCTGCATGGAAATGATTTTGCTGAGCTAGAATACATGAACATTACAGTAATAACTTCAAATGAACCATATGGCATATATGATGGCTCAAACCCATTATTCGATGGCCATGCTGTTCCCAAGTTTGGTCTTAAAAAGGGCGGAGTTCATAGTGGTCATGTTCAAACTGGAATTATAGATAGCTTCTGTCTTATAGAGGGAAGTAGGAAAGGAAGATGTGAGGTATGGTATAGTCAAATTGATTTTTACAGTTGCACAATTTGTTTATATAAAATATAGTGGACTTACATTAATTTCAATGAAGCTACATTAAATTTTCTCCGGCCCATATCTTTATTTCCCATGTCCTGCTATTGCCCAAAACAAAATGTAAAAAAGGACTGTTCAATGGAACTCAAGTTTGATTTTAATATATATATATATATATATATATATATATATATATATATATATATATATATATAATTTACTACCTCTGTTGGGAAATTGGTGATGTTTTAGACACTGACAGTCTCCAACATGTATCTTTGACTGTCGCTTTTTAGTTTTTACAGGGGCAGACCCAAAAAGGGCTCAAATTTCCCAAATATTTTTAAATAATTGAGAAAAAATGCTTAATTTTTTTTAAAAAATCATAGCAAATGCCCCCACTCCAAATTTCTTTTGGGTCCACCCTCACATTTTATACGTATATATTAATGAAAAGTATGAAATTATATATTACGTGAGTACTTCTAGTGATAAATCTAATTATTTAATTTATGCCTTACCAATCCAAATTTATTTTACACTGCAAGTCAAAGTTAGGAAATTTTGACTGAACGTTTTCTAGGAAGTTTTTTGTATTTATGAATGGAGATAGTAATGTTGAAATGAAGTAGAAGAATGGTGCAAAAGTTGCTGTTTAATGGTGGACGAAGACTCGAAGAGTGTTCCCATGTTGCAAGTGACTTAACAAATTATACTGTGTATGAAAAACTACTGGCTAATTGTATTTGTTCTTAGGATGGATACACTAAGGAAATTTCTGGTCTAGAAGCAGTCCGTGTTCGTGTTGCCACAAAGGCTAAATCAAATGTGGATAAAAATAGCCGTTTGGATAGGGAATTTTTCAAGAGCTTCCTAGAGGTAAGCCCCACACAACACGACCTTGCAGGCCGTATGATTCACAACTCACAAGGTTAATAGTTCTCTTCTTTGTTATGCACCGAGACACAAGTTTTGCAATTTCTCGAAAAATATCAATGTAGCCTGTACAGTGCAATTGTCTTAGTTTTAAGGAAAAACAATACAATTATCATGTACAGCTTCCAACTAATTTGATTCCTTATGTAACAATAGGCAAGTTGCATCCATATTCCTCCAACGTATTCTTGATAATTCAATTTAACTTCTGATTTTGAGCTTGTTTATCCTACCTCAGAAAACCTCCCCAAAATGGAGTTGGGTTGACCGCCACTCCTGAGCTCAGAGTGCCATACCGAAAGAATAAATATTTCACTTTCATTAAGCCAGCCCAGTATTGCTGCTTTACCCTGGATGTCCATTATCATTAGCCTTTTGTACTTATCTAAGAGCAACCTAAACTATGTACTCCAGTCACAGAGTTGTACTCCCTCTGTAAAAAAATACAAGATCTTTTAGATCACTGTGATCTAAAGATCTTATATTTCTTTACAGAGCGAGTACATGGAAGAGTCGATGCACATTGCACTCACATACATGTAATATGAAACGAAATCTGCCACTAAGCATGTCAGCTATCGTTTGTGTGTGTCATATTGGTTCTTATTATAGTAATAGCTGAACTGTGGCCTGCAGGTCTTAACTCTCCGTGATAACACAGGCCGTTTCGACATTACAGCACAATTTCCATTCTACAGAGAGGTTCTTTACAAGCCAAACTTTGTTAACAAAAGTAGAGGGAAAGTAACCATCTTTGACATGGACATGAGTGCTGGAGATTTCGTCTCCCTTATATATCTCTTGAAGGCGCCTGTTGAAGAAATAGATTTGAAGGTACCAATTGTCGGCGACAATGCAGTAATGTGCCTCCATACAATAAAATGATTTTTGTCTCTATTTTTCTCTACAACAGTACGTTTGCTATCATGGCTGTAGGGGATTTTCGTCAGCGGCAATGGTTGGGCCAATGCCGCAACTATTGATATCGTTTATGACATTCTACATATGATGGGTCGTGATGACATTCCTGTTGGCCGTGGCACTTCTACCGCGTTAGGCACTGGAATCCTTAGCTGCAAGTATGTCAGTGCTATTCCCCAAGGGAGTGGTGGACTTCTCGACTCTGACACTCTGTATGGACTAGCTCGGTCTTTGCCACGAAGTCCTAGAAGGTATCCTTCCACCAAATGACCCACATCTGAGTAATGAACGTGGCCTAATATTTACAACTCTGTTATTTGAATTATCAGGTACACTGCTGAAAATTCAGTAGAACATGGCGCTCCTAGAAATACTGGTAATCCGGAACTTCGGCAACCATTGGCTTTTGAAGTTTGGCAGTCTGTTAAAAGGCAACTTGATCCAAGTGAGAAGATCACTATACTTACCAATGGACCTCTTACAAATTTGGCCAATATTATGCTCTCTGACAGGAATGCAAGTTCTGTAATAAAGGCCAGTTGTTTTATATCTTTTGGTTTCATGCAGTATGAACTGCATTTTGAACTATGATAACGTCATCTTTAGCACTGTTAATATTGATTACATGTTTCTCTCTTCTGCAGAGTGTATATGTTGTTGGAGGCCATATCAGAGATGAAAATGATTCAAACGGCAACGTGTTCACTGTTCCATCTAATAGATATGCGGAGTTCAATCTGTTTCTTGATCCCCTAGCTGCGAAAGTAGTTCTAGAATCCACTATGGATATCACTTTGATTCCTCTTAGCTCTCAGAGAAAAGCTTCTTCCTTTCAGACTCTCCTTGAATCTCTAGAGTATGCTGAAAATACTCCAGAATCAAGTTTTGTCCTCCATTTGTTGTCATTGCTGCATGACTTGCAACAGAAGCACCGGCTGTACCATCATATGGTAAAGGTCTTCGGCTTCTTCTGTTCATTTGTTACAACTTACTAATTTTCAAAAAGAAAAAAAAAAGTTCATAGTTTATATCAGCTTCCATGCTGTCTGAACTGGTTATATTTCAAATCACTCCTGCCGACGAACTGGCGTACTTACTTTCTGTGTACCTGCATCATGATTTCTGACCATTGAATCAATTTTGATTTTTGAGGAGCCCAAGGGCCATGCTTATATTGTTTTAACCAATACCGAGGATACCAAACCCACAAGACCACAACTATTCCATCTCAAACTGCTGTAGTCTATTCTTATACATGATTCAATACTTATTTTTAAGTACTTATCATATTTTTCGGCCCGCGAATTGTCATAATCACAGGGTATATTTCTGGGAGAACTACTTGGTGCTGTTTATTTGGTGGAAGGATCAAACATGGAACATTCATTATTACTGAAGCCAATAAGCATTATTGCTGACAATACAACAAGCACGGATGGACAGGTGGTAGTCGACGAACAGAGCGCAAATTTGGTGAAGGTACTAGTGGATTTCGATAGCGACGAATATTACAGTCGAGTTGCCAACCATCTAGGCAACATGGAGCGATCTGCCGTTATTGGTAGTTTTGCAGAACAGAGGTCATCATGGAGCAGGCAACCAGATAACTTGAGAGTACGCTGACTACTTCTGTACAGTATTAGCGGTACTGAAATGAACATATAGTTCATTTTCCTTACTGGACTAGATGCCCAAGCTTATCGGAAGAGTGTAAGCCCTCTGCTCATTCTTAGCATTGATAGGAAAGTTCTTGCAGTTTTTGGACCTGTATGTGACTGCACTGGTACAATAGATTTATCTTTTCAGAATGAATGAAATATCTTAAAAGCAACTTTGTTTTCTTCTCATTTTCTTTGCTTCACAAATCACAACCATCATGTGCTCAACGGTATCATATCAAGTTCCCCTGGTGAAGAAAACATTGTACTCTACAGTTTTCCCTGAATTAGTGCTATGTTTGACTCTTCGACACGACAAAGCTTCAAAGATCTCATTGGAGTATGATTCAGCGGAAAATTCGTCGACGGTTTCTAAAAAATACGGCATGTCAAGATCGTGGAGCAGCATAAACACTGGACTCAATTGGCCACCCATCTCGAGCAGAACAGATGCGTTGAACTTTTGAGACCGGAGCAGTAAGTTCCTTGGACTCATCCACTCCGGTGCCTTGCAACCACAATCTATTTTTCCACACATGTTCTCATTCTCGGGGGAAAGAGGAGGAACCCAAGTACCCTACAGTGGGTAAAGCTATCGCTTGTCGGAATTCTCGCCGACTGGTGGATGATTTGGAACACCCCGGGTCAAGCAGGCCGCTGCGAATGGCAGGCAATACGATGGCATCATGGAGGTTTATCGGCACTTGTTGCAATGCTTCATGGGCGGGCACAACCGGGAGGGAGGCGTGAGGGCAACTCCAACGCGGATCAATATCTAGACACGGACGGTACGGACATTTTTAGCTATCCAATGCTAGTCATTAAATGTGTGGACTGGTACGGATATCCGAATTTTCTCAAATCATGCTCAAACTAAGGGAGCTTCGGGGAAGTCCGTATATCCGGCCGGCCTACTATTAGTTCGTTCACATATCTCCACAGACCATGTGTCCCACTCATCTCTTTTTTCTCCTGTCCACTCTCAGTTATAACCCATTGTTTGAATAACCACGGTTGAATGGTTGGACTGTCCATAAACACATCACGGAAATTTGATGATGTTCATTAGACGATCCGCGTTAGAGTTGCCCTAAGACCCTTGCGTTAAGTTGCTAGTGTGTGGCAGACAAATCGGCTACTGCAGATTGGTAAGAATTAACAGTGGAGTCAACCTGAAATTTCGTGTGGATGGATTCTGGTTTTCGTATTATGTTTTCAAACTGTTATGGAAAAGGAAATGAACGTGTGCGACACGTGAGGTACAACAAATAGGAACCTAAATTCGAATCATACAAGAAGGGGAAGAACAAGACTGATGTTGCATCGTCTGTCCGTGTTTTCATATGCTTCAGCCCGAATCGTGCACATCATTCATTGTGTTTATAAGTCATACACATTCGAATATATTCCTCAAACGAAGCTAATACATCTTGCCAAAACAAGAGCGCGCGCGCGCGCACACACACACACACACACACAAAAAATCCAAGTACATGACCGTGGGTTTTGTCTTTCCCAAATGATAAGTGCCACACGTCAGGTGTGTGACACTTGGGCCCTGATGTTTTTTGATGGCAATTTCAGTCACGCAAGGATGAAAAGATTTCAGCGACACACGGCAAGTTTCTGATAAGAATAAACTGAATCACGAAAGTTCTCATGCTTGCCAAGTGAAGTTGTCATCCTTGCGTAACTAAACTTGCCATAGAAAATGTTCGGAGTTGCCATGTGCTCGTACCTGACATTCAGCTCTTATGACGGTCCTTGCCTTTAGTTTTCGACTCTGCTTAATTTTGTCTTTAAAAAAGCATGTTAGGTAGCCGGAATTCCCTTTGACTTGGTCAAAGCCATTTGACCAAACTTTGAAAATGCATATGAACTCAGAAAAATACAAATAAGATATAAAAAATGTACAGAAAAACAACACCTATATATGCATGCCATTTGCATTCATGACAAAAGAACAAATTCTTTTGTCATAAATGCAAATGACATCCACATGTAGGTGATGTTTTTCTAAATATTTTTGATGTCTTATTTGCATTTTTATGAGTTCATGTGAGTTTGTTATGAATTTTCAAATCAATGGTCAAATGATCAAAGGGCATTCGTGTGACATAAAATGTGTTTTAAGGGCGTAATCAAGTAGAGTCGAAAACTAGGGGCAAAATCCATGGGTATGAGCCATCCCACAAACATGATGTTGGGGAACGTTGCATGAAAAATAAAAAAAATCTACGCACACACAAGATCTATCTATGGAGATGCATAACTACGAGAAAGGGAGAGCATCTACATACCCTTGTAGATCGCTAAGCGGAAGCGTTTATCAACGCGGTTGATGTAGTCATACAACTTTAGGATCCATCATGATCAAGCACCGAACGCACGACACCTCCGTGTTCAACACACGTTCAGCTCGATGACATCCTCACCTTCTCGATCCAGTAAGAGAAGCGAAATAGTAGATGAGTTCTGACAACACAACGGCGTGATAACGATGGTGGTGAAACTATTCTGCAGGGCTTCGCCAAGCACAATGGTTTAGAGTGGAGGATGAACTAGAGGGAGAGGGGGCGCCGACACATGGCTTGGGGATTCGTGGTGTGTGGCACCCCATCCCCTCCTCTCATATATATAGATGGAGGGGGAGAAGAGGCAACCCTAAGGCGCGCCCCAAGGGGCCGGCGGCTGCCCTAGGGCACCCCCTCCTTCTTTCTGGCGCGCGGGAAGGGGAGGTGGAGCGCGCCCAGCCCCTTGTGGGTTGGTGCGCCTCCCTCCTTGTCCCATGAGGCCCACCAAGTAGTTATAGCCTACCAGTGGCCTCCCGGAACCCCTTCCGGCACTCCGATGGTATTTTGGTGCATTCCGAAACCTTTTCGAAACCCGAATACCTTCATCCTATATATCAGTCTTTACCGCCGGACCATTCCGGAGCTCCTCGTCATGTTTGGGATCTCATCCGGAACTCCGAACAACATTCGGTCACCAACATAAATAACTCATATAGTACTATACCGTCAACAGACGTTAAGCGTGCGGACCCTACGAGTTCGAGAATGATGTAGACATGACCGAGGCGCTTCTCCGGCCAATAACCAATAGCGGGACCTGGATGCCCATATTGGTTCCTACATATGATCTTTATCGGTCGAATTTGTATGCCTTAGTGAGTTTATTATAAAATATTTATATTAAAAATTTGTATGTCTTAAGCATGAAGTTGCAAAGTTCAAATCTTGTTAAAATGCACAAAACAATTACAATATTAAATTTAGGTACATTGATTTTCTTTGTAAAGGTGCAATTTCTATGGTTGCATCCTTCCGGAAAAAATTACATATTGAATTTTGTAACAAGCTAATTTAATAATTATTGTATTTCTTTTCATTCTTTTCTAATATGCCTTTTCATGAAGAGACATTTTTTCATCAATCATCTTGTTGCCAAGAGATATGTCTTTCCACTAAGAGACATCCTTTTACCAAAAAGTGTGTATTTCCGCGAAGAGGCATCTTTCTGCCAAGAGACATGTCTTCGTATTGAGAGACATCCTTTACCGAAAAAGAGTTTTTCCCCGCTTTGTATTTCAAAGCAACGAACATCATACACATAGCATTGCTGGGGCGAGCAGCACATCAAGCCCAAAAGAAAAGAAGAAATAAATGCCAACAACGGCAGCTCGACAAAGCATGGATGAACCGCCACCGCTGCGCCCTCTCCGGAGACAAACCACCACCACCCGAGGCTCCGATCTGCCGAGTACCAAGCGGCACCTTCAAGAAGGGATGCGACGCCGATTCCGCTGTCGCCCGGACGAGTCCTAGGGTTTCCCTCAGTATGCGGAGGGAAGAGGAGGATGGCTACCACCGACACCCTCCAAAAAGGAATGGCGGCACCCGTCGGTGTCACCGCATCAGAGCCGGCCGAACCGGCAAGGATTACTCCCGCACACCAACCCCACCGCCCAACCGGAGCCGACCAGCCAAACCACCGCCCAACACCATGCGCCATCGCGATTGCGCCACCACCCAAGCTGTCTCACTACGAGCACCAACACGAGGCCAAGAGGACCG